TAAGTAAACGTTCTAGTTCCAGAAAGAAGAGCTTATGCCCCAAATCTACACGTACATACCATATTCAAAGGTGTAATTCTCTTCTACATGTAATAGATAAATACTAGTTTGACAAAAGACAAGCCAATTTTTAAAAACTAGCTATGTCTGATTTTTTAAAAAAATGGCTTCTCACAAAGATGATACAAACATATCAAAATTTATCTCACCAAATCCAGTCTGTGAACTTGAAATAGCTATGTCAGTTAAAAGCATTAAAAAGGATCTATTCAATCATGAATAATACATATTCTTATAAGTAAGGATACAACTTTTTTTTTTTTTAAAGATAGGTAAAAGGCCCTCAATATTAAAGTCACTCTTGTTCTGAAACGAGTTTGGCCTCAGACTGTTAATACTGGTATACTATATTTTCTCTCCCAAGAAGCTATTTTGAAAGTATGTCACAGAGGGATAACCATTTAGGTTTTGTCCTCTAGGACAATATGGAAGTGATAGCCAATAACACTATAATCAATGCACTAGGTAATTCAATTCGACAAACATATAGTATGAGACCACACAAAGTTTAATCATCAAGCCAAATTAGCACACCTGTCATTTTGTCTCGCTTTCAAACTTTATGTTCCATGGCCAGTAACTGCAAAACAAAACTAAATTCTATACTTTGACTTACTTTAAAGAGATATAGTATTACAGCTACTGTAAAAATTAGCCTTTATGCCTTCATGTCAGTCTTAAAATTCCTCAAATATCTGACTTCATCAATAGAGAATTCTGTAATATAAGCACTTGACACAGAGACATTAAAAGTTTGGTAGGCAGGGCTTCCCGGGTGGCGCAGTGGTTAGGAATCTGCCTGCCAATGGGGGGGACACAGGTTTAAGCCCTGGTCCAGGAAGATCCCACATGCTGCAGAGCAACTAAGGCCGTACACCACAACTACTGAGCCTGCGCCCTAGAGCCCGCGAGCCACAACTACTGAAGCCCGCGCACCTAGAGCCCATGCTCCGCAACAAGAGAAGCCACCGCAATGAGAAGCCCGCGCACCACAACGAAGAGTGGCCCCTGCTTGCCGCAACTAGAGAAAGCCCGCGCACAGCAACAAAGACCCGACACAGCCAAAAATAAATAAAATAAAATAAATAAATTCAGGGCTTCCCTGGTGGCACAGTGGTTAAGAATCCTCCTACCAATGCAGGGCACGTGGGTTCGAGCCCTGGTCCGGGAAGATCCCACATGCCGCAGAGGAACTAAGCCCGTGTGCCACAGCTACTGAAGCCTGCACGCCACAACTACTGAAGCCCGCGCGTCTCAAGTCCGTGCTCCACAATGAAGAGTAGCGCCCTTTTGCCACCACTAGAGGAAGCCCACACACAGCAATGAAGACCCAACACAGACAAAAATAAAATAAATAAATTTTAAAAATAAATAAAATAAATAAATAAATTTAAAAGTCTGGTAGGCAGACTGCCATTCAAATTAGCCACCAATATGCTCTCATGTCAAAAGTTATGTTATGGGGCTTCCCTGGTGGCGCAGTGGTTGAGAGTCCGCCTGCCGATGCAGGGGACACGGGTTCGTGCCCCGGTCCGGGAAGATCCCACATGTCACGGAGCAGCTGGGCCCGTGAGCCATGGCCGCTGAGCCTCAGTGTCCGGAGCCTGTGCTCTGCCACGGGAGAGGCCACAACAGTGAGAGGCCCGTGTACCGCAAAAAAAGAAAAAAAAAAAAAAAAAAAAGTTATGTTATGGAAGGGATTTACACTTTGGATATAATTTTGTCATGTAATTTAGAAAAGGAAAACAGACATCAGTCACCCTGAACTCCAAGACTATTACCCAAAATTCTAAGCGAGCAAGATTCTCCCAAAATATTTGCCGTACCCTCTTACACAACACTGCTACAAAAACACATAAACCAAAAGAAAAAATATGCTAGATAAGGAAAAGGTTAATGTGTGCAACAGGTAGCAATCATTTTACAATTAAAAAAAAAAAAATCTTACCAGGACAAAAATCACAGATTCCTTGGATCTCCTTACCACTACCTCCCTATCTTGTTAAAAAATAAAAACTTCCTTTGAAAGACTGGATCCCAAGATCTCTCAGATATTTATGAAACAGCTCAGCAATTCTACCAGCCTGACGTGATAAAAACGAAAATCCATATAGCAATAACTAACCGAGAAAAGAGTTTTGCAGCATCTTCTTTCTTTTCCCCCCAAAAAACTGAATTCAAGAAATGTCAAAACAAAAATAAATCCTAAATGTACAAAATTCCACTGATGATATACTTTATTTCTGAAAGTTAAAGATAAAGAATTATAATCTCAGCACACAGATTAGGAGACAAGAAGCAAATCTCTGAAATAAAGCTTTGCCAGAACATATTGCCTACTGGATACACTTGCCAATACACACCACACCTTTTCAACAGTCACACTGGGGCGTGGGGTGGGGGGCGGGAGAGAACAGCCTTTTCTCAAAGAGTCTGGAGACTATCAGAAAATGAATTAAAGAATCACTCTTTTTTCCTCCAAATTCAGCCTAAAATGCAGAGCCAAATAAAACCAGCATAAATTCCTTTAGTAATTTTCTAGGTCTTTCAGTTCACCAAGTTTTACATAATGCATATAGTTCTGTGGCTTTCCTCATTCCCTACTCTACAAATAAATTCAAATTTCTGAAACGAATATACGGTGAGAATATTAATAAAGCTCTCTTTGACTAGGGAAAACAAAAATCAAATTCTTAAACTCCAGTAGGGAAACCTTGAGAGGAAAGCGGGAGCCTAAAGGACAAAGTATTCATATGCACATACAAGCTAATTCCTTCCAGATCATTACTAAGTAAAAATTTATTTCTATAAGATATATCACATACATCCCTCCCAAAATACAAAATACAGAACTTTATCAGCATCCAGTATTCTACCTTCTCTCGATCAATCCCCTTCAACCCTATCAGTGTTAATTTGTGTTAAAAAAAAAAAAAAATCCACATTTCCACTCCCCAGCTCAAAGCCAAAAATCTTGGTATACAATAATCTAAAAAAATTATACAGAACTATCCTTCCTCAAACAGTTTTGCCCCTCAAATTTACATTCAAATCTAACTTAATCAATTAGATTTATTACAATGTCAGTATTGCAAAATTAGGAATCCTTGTCACACTGTAATCCACAAAATCCTTTGATTTACAACGGTTTCAGCAGAAGTTAAAAGCTACCTATAAATCCATTTCCAAATAGGATGACTACTAAGACTCTAACTACTTGGCCTAAAATTCAAATGAGATACTAATACACCTTCCCTCCTCTGGTGCAGAGAAAAGCCACCTGAAAAGTTTTAATCACAGTATGTTCACAAATGTAAACAAAATAGTTTTTCTGTTTCAAAATTGGAAAAAAAGAAAAGAAAAGAGAAAAAAAAAAAGACAAGAAAATACTAACCAATCTCTGGCTGTAACGAATCCTTTCTTCTTCGGGTTCCATCTCTCACTCTTCTGTTGAAATTACAGAAAGAAACCACTCCAGGGCTGCCTTCCTCTTCCTCCTTAGGAACCAGATTGCAACACTAAAGAATAATGATATGAGCAGAGATGAGAACTCATCCTCGAACTCAACCTTTCTTTCCTCGGAATGAAGTGTTTAGGATGTGTGTAAGTTAAAGGCTTCCTGAGAAATCTGGTTCCTCTTCATCAGTTTGGGACCTCTCAGCTCTGGGGCAAGTGGTTCCATGTCAAGATCAACATTAATCACATTACAACTGTCTGAGGCCTATAGGCAAGAAGATGTTGGTTTCAGTTCCTTACTGTCGGGCTATACCACTTGTTTCTCCCCACAGGATTACAATACGCAAGGCTCCCCTTCAATGGCAGCATTAGCAAAAAAAAAAAAA